TTTAAACATTTTAACAAAGATTTGTTTTTCTTACTATTTTATAGTGCGTAATATATTTATATTGTAATTGTTCTTGAACTTTCTACGAATCATCCGCAGTCGAATAATATTACGTCGACAATGTAACACCTATATAATTTGTCAACGATTTAATAACAAACGTGAAAAATTCGAAAGCAGCAGAAAACGTAGAATTATCGATCTCGCTGAGTAATTCGTCAAGAAAAGGTATCATTACAGACAACTGTCAAATATTACGCTATGGCAGATAATTATACGCGGCGTTGGCCAACACGCTTAATTCGCGATAAGATGAAGAGATATCCAATTTGGTAATATACCAATTTTCGAAAGGGTCGCTGATCTGCATACAAATTGGCTGGAACATCTCCATAGCCATCGTGTAATTCTCACCGATCCGACGAGTTTTGGTAAATTGTAATTTTCCAATTAATCGGGACGTGATAAAAATCAATCACTGTGGCGACAACCACACGTTTCGTGCCTTTCTTCTTTCAGCGATATTCATGATCAAATTATCTGGATGATTTATCGTTTCGTTATTCGTTTAAGAGGTGTGTCGGAATATCTTTGTTGTGCACCGTATTATTCATCCAACCGTAAGACGCTTAATGTAAAATTGTTGCACATTCGTGAAATTCGACAAATTCCTACAAACTCCTATATTCTTATAACGTATTAACTTTGATATTTTCATAAATTTCTTTCATTATTCAACGCTGAAACTAATGCATAGAATTTCCATCAGTGACATTAGACTGAAAACAATAGAATGACTTTAAAATACAATGGAATACACGAGCCTTTTACGAGAAACCATTTAAAATTCTTAAAAATACACATACATAAAATGATTAAAATAACGATACACACGTTTTACATGTATGCAATTCTTAACAAAAAATTGGCCATTTTTACCATTATGATAATTTCATTGTTAATAGAATTGAAATAACTGTCCAACAGCGATTTATTATACCCGTGTAATTCCCATCTCCAAGAATGATCGAAAAGTCCGCAAATAATAAGAAAACAACATCGCCCTTAATCTTCGAATCGTGGCGATCGAGAGTATAAATCTCCGGCACCGATCGCCTCGTCGTGGCACGAGAAGCGTTCAATCGTTCCAATCAACGAAACAAAGGGAACACAGAAACAAAACCGGAGGAGAAAGAAAGAGGGATAGAGAGAGAGAGAGAGAGAGAGAGAGAGAGAGAGAAAGAAAAAAGAGGGTTGCGCTCGTTGCAACGTAACCTCCAACGCTGTCTGTGGCATCGCTTTAATTCGCAAAATGGTTCGCGGTAACGAGGAGCGCGCGCGCGTTCGCGTGCTCGCGCAATAATCCAATAAACCAACTGCACAAACCCTGATGCGTGTCTAAACAGCGAGAACACGGGTGGGTGTAGGTTTAAAAGTTCAATTGGAAAGTGCACTTAATGGATCTGAAACGGCCGCTGGAATGACTCTCGAGATGGCGGATTACAGTCCATTAAAATTGAAGCGATCAAAACGCGACTGCGTTACGTTTAAGGCCGTGTTTCGTTGCACGCGCGTGCACACACGTACGTGTGCATTTACACGCGTCATTGGACGAGGGAGGAGAGGGAAAAAAGGGATGTGAAGAAGGCCGAAGTAAAAACGCGCGAACGAGGAATTAGGTAGGGCAAACGTCGAGCGTTATTTACGATCTCTTGAAAGAAACGAGAGATTAAAGGAACCTATTGAGGCCGGCCTGTGCGTATTACGAAATCAACCGGGTTATGATAGAAATTTATCGTACCGGTTATTATCCTCTGCCACTGGTAATTACAACCGGGGATTAAAGTGTTCCTTCGACGAAGAATCGGTGACCGTTCGTTAACTCTACCGCAATTGACACGTCTTTTTTCTTAGGCAAGAGCTACCACAATTTACGGCGTGAAGATGTTGCAATGGATGTTGTCGAGAGATGCCAATATGATGCTGTTTGCGCTTGCAATTCGAGGAAGAATTCTCGAAATTTGCCAATATCTTTTCAGAGCCAGTGACTTTATATAATTACATAAATAAAATTTACATAAGTAGTACATATTAGTATAATATGCATCATAGTGTACATATTATATATATACATACATATTAGTCATAGTCATATTTTTGATGATATGCTTGAAGACTATCGAACTTAAGTTTCTACAGGATAGACCAAAATCACTTCCTACTAAAATAAACCTGTAATTTTTTTACGATTTATTAAATTTTTTATATTCTTATTTTGAACGTAGATTTAATTTAAAATTAATAAAATTTGCTTTTTCTTATATTTTGATGTTTTATTAAAAAAAAAAGTAGATGGGAAGAAACTTTTGGCCCACTCCGTATTAACAAAAGATAAGAACATCGTCATTTATCCGCTGAATTTCTCATGTTTATTATCACAAAATGTCCTTCTCATTTCCTCTAAAAGTACAAATATATATATAATAAAGTACAGAAATAATTTTCTTGGATACGTTAAATATCAGACCACTGTAATTCTGCAAACGCTCGAGAACTTGATGCTCGAAGTTTCCTTGAGAAATATCGTGAACCGGGACTCGTTCAGATAAAATATAGGATAGGACCTATTTCACGCCTAATGGGATTATCACTAACATAATTATTCACGGTTATTCCGGCGAGCTGAATTAGCTGGATCTTAAGTGAGCCTTTTGCGTAACGCACGAGGGAGGAAGTAAAAAGAGGAACCGCGAGGGGGAGCGGATGCGGTATCTCTTCGTTGCATACCGGCACGTTTCAGTTAAAATCGCCGGCGACGTTGAGAATTGCTCGTCAATTAGGATCGTTTCGGGCAACGGGGTCGGACGTATGTATGTAACTCGGATTCGGCGAAATCGCAATTCGACCAGATGAAACGGCGATCGACCGATAGACGCGGCGTCGGCCAGTTCGACCATTGTCTCTTCGAGATGAATGAAGAACCAGTACGATCGGCCGAGATAGAATAATGACGAGTCAGTGACATTCGTTTCGTGAGAAATTTCATTAATCATGGTAATCAAGTCAGGCGCGGTCGTTGTTGTTGAATCGATGTATGTGTGCGAAAGATGAATGTGTCTAAAGAGACTTGCGGATCTGTGGACGATGGTTGTACGATGGTTGTACGATGTCAGAGCATGTTGAAATTTTGAAATTAACCTTCGTTTGCTTATTTCTTCTGAACTTGACAATAATTTCGAAAAGTAAAATAAATATTACAATAAGGAAATTCACTCCTTGGAAAATTTCTTCTCGAGCAATTGATAGTTAATCTCTTTAGATATTAATGTACACATGTGTGTACACGTAGTTTTTCTTTAAATCAAAGGTAATTCCAAAAGATATCATACACATAAATATATGAGAAAATAAAATCTCAATAAAAGAGAAAATATTTTAGCAGATGGTAGTTAATTTCTTGGAGTTCTGATACATATGTATGTATAAATTTATTTAGTTTTTCTTTAAATTTCGGAAGGTACAGTGAACAATCATTTAATGGAAAATTCTTTTCATAGTAAATTTTGTTATTATACATGTGTGTGTGTGTGTGTGTGTGTGTGTGTGTACAGAATTTCTCCTAGTTTTTCTTTAAATCAAGGATAAAAAAAAAATACAACGGACCATTTTTATATTGGCTCAATATTTGAAACAGAACTTGTTTAATACGACAAAACTAATTGGTAGCAATATTCTTTGAGGATTGTAATGAATTTGCCACTGAGGAAGAAAGTGAACCATCCATTGAATTATTTTCTTCTTGCCTCAGCCAGTTCCATTTTCAAACGTTCCTATGTTTTTCTCCAAATAATACAAATAATTTTCACCAGACATAAGTGTCGTAGTCATTACATTTCGAAGATTATGTAAAATTTTCTCGCGACACAGCGGTGTAATTATTTATACAGAAAGAATAATATTCTTATTCGTTCAACGTTCGGTATTAAATGTCTATTGTATGAAACAAAGGTTTCTTAACAATA